AATTCTGGGCCAGCTTTAGCTCTGGCTCCAGCTCTGAGGCCTCTGCTGCTGAAAGAAGGTATCTGGTTTGTTTAGGTTCTGTAATCGAAACAATGTATAACTCCAGCTCTGAGATCCCAGCTCGCTGAAAGCTGGTTTCTGGGGTTTTGTTTAGCTTCTATATTTGTTACAATGTTTCTTAAACTGCAGGCTCAGAGGCCAGCAAGGCAGGTGGGGAACGTTGGAGTCCTCCATCACTGAAGCAAGCAAGCCTCATGTTAGTTTCAAGCTGCCTGGCTGCCGGCCGACATCTTGGCTGGCAGTTAATTTGCATATCTCGCTGATTAGCCAATGGGAAGGGTAGCGGTCGTACGCCAATTACCATGTTTCTCTTTTATTAGATAGGATATAAATATATATACATACATATATATATATATATTACTGCTTAATTTAAGAGTTACTTAAACTTAGCATTTCTGTTTTTTTAAATCTTTCTTTGTTGAGAGATTACAGATGTCTCCCCCCCACCCCCGCTTTTTACCTATTCCCTCCCACCTCCCAGTTCCCACCCCATCCAAGGCTTTCATCACCCTATTATCTGTGCCCATGGACAATGCATATATACATATAAATTCTTTGGTTAATTGCTTCCTGCCCACTCTCCCCCCTTCCCTCTGAGATTCATCAGTCTGTTCCATGTTTTCATACCTCTGGTTCTATTTTATTGTGTTCATTAGATTCCACATATAAATGAGATCATGTGATATTTGTCTTTCTTTGACTAGCTTTTTTGCTTAGATAATCATCTCCAGATCCACCCATCTTATCTCAAAAGGTAAGAGGGCCTTCTTTTTTATAGCTGTATAGTATTCCATGTGTAAATGCACAACTTTTTTTTTTTAGATCTATTTATCTAAATGTATTGGGATAACATTGGTTAATAATATTACATAGATTTGAAGTGTACAACATTATATTACAATGTCTATATGCTCAGTGGTGTGCTCACCACCCAAAATCTAGTTTACTTCTGTTACCATATATTTGAAGCATTTATTTCTTTAAACATCTTTTTGGTCCATACTTTAAAAAAGTAATTAGCCCTAGCTGGTTTGGCTCAGTTTGTAGAACGTTGGCCTGCAGACTAAAGGTCCCAGGTTCGATTCTAGCCAAGGGCACATGCATGTGTTGTAGGCTCGATCCCCAATAGGGGGCATGCAGGAGGTAGCCAATCAATGATTCTCTCTCATTACTGATGTTTCTATCTCTCTCTCCCTCTCCTTTCCTCTCTGAAATCAATAAAAACATTTTAAATAAAGTAAGTAATGGTCAGGAATCAAAGTAGGAATATAGTTTCATTTTACAACATAATTTAAGGGCTAATGCTGAAACTCACTCTTCTCAGGGAATTTTAATTAGGACAGATGGGGTATGATAGAAAACAATCTTTGAGTTTCCACTTATTCAGCACCTATGGTAGGTCCTTTACCTATATACTATCTTGCTTTAATTTTCATGACTATATTATGAAGTTTAGATGGTATTAGTTTTCATTTATATATGGGAAAACCAAGACTCAGAGAGATGAAATAATTTGTAACGGCTTTAAGCACTTGAAATAATATTTATATGTAATTGATATAGTCACCAGTAATTATCACAGTATAATTTTTTTCTTTAAGAATATGTATAATTTGTTAAGTGTGATAGACCAGCTTTGCATATATAGGGCTTCTTCATAATATAAGAACATATAGGGATTATTAAACTTTCAGGGCACTCCCTCCCCCCTTGAAAATAACTTTCTGTGATTATTTAATAGATACCATTGTAAAGAGTTCAAATAATACATCCTATCTAATAAAAGAGAAACATGGTAATTAGCGTACGACCGTTACCTTTCCCATTGGCTAATTAGGGAGATATGCAAATTAACTGCCAGCCAAGATGTCGTCTGGCAGCCAGGCAGCTTGAAACTAACATGAGGCTTGCTTGCTTCAGTGACGGAGGACTCCAACATTCCCCGCCTACTGCTGCCGGCCTCTGAGCCTGCAGTTTGAAACATTGTAACAAATATAGAAGCTAAACAAAACCCCAGAAACCAGCTTTCAGCGAGCTGGGATCTCAGAGCTGGAGTTATACATTGTTTCGATTACAGAACCTAAACAAACCAGATACCTTCTTTCAGCAGCAGAGGCCTCAGAGCTGGAGCCAGAGCTAAAGCTGGCCCAGAATAAAAATAAAAGAAAAAAAGGAGCAGTTGGGAGCTTCAGTCACCTGTCAGCCTGAAAACAGCCCTCAGCCCCTCACCCAGACTGGCCAGGCACCCCAGTGGGGACCCCCACCCTGAAGGGTGTGTGACCAGCTGCAAACAGCCATCATCCCCTCATCCAGGCTGGCCAGGCACCCAGTGGGGACCCCCACCCTGATCCAGGGCACCCTTCAGGGCAAACCAGCCAGCCCCACCCATGCACCAGGCCTCTACCCTGTATAGTAAAAGGGTAATATGCCTCCCATCACCGGGATCAGCGGAGCTGAGAGGCCTCCCGGCACTGGGATCAGCGTGACAGGGGGCAGCACCCAAACCCCCTGATCTCCCTGCGGCTCTGTGTGTGACAGGGGGCGGGGCCACAACCTCCCTATCGGCCCTGCTCTGTTCGTGACAGGGGAAGGCACCCCAACCCCATGATGGGCCCTGCTCTGTGCCTGAGATGGGGGAGCTCCCCAACCCCCTGATCGCCCTGTGGCTCTGTGTGTGACAGGGTGTGGCGCCCCAATCTCCCCCCCCCCCACGGGCCCTGCTCTGTGTGTGACGGAGTAGAGCCATAACCTCCCCATCGGCCCTGTCCTGAGTGTGAGAGTGGCGGCGCCCCAACCCCCTGATTGGCCCTGCTCTGTGCCTGATACGGGGAGCTCCCCAACCCCCTGATCGCCCTGCGGCTCTGTGTGTGACAGGCTGCAGTGCCCCAACCTCCTGATCGGCCCTGCTCTGTGGGTGACAGGGTGTGGGGCCCCAACCCTCCCCCCCCCGACACGGGCCCTGCTCTGTGTGTGACGGGGTAGTGCCATAACCTCCCCATCGGCCCTGCCCTGAGTGTGAGAGTGGCGGTGCCCCAACCCCCTGATCGGCCCTGCTCTGTGGGTGATACAGGGTGGTGCCCCAACACCCCCCCCCCACGGGCCCTGCTCTGTGTGTGACAGGGTAGAACCATAACCTCCCCATTGGCCCTGCCCTGAGTGTGACAGTGGCGGCGCCCCAACCCCCTGATCGGCCCTGCTCTGTGGGTGACAGGGGGCGGTGCCCCAACTCCCCTATTGGCCCTACTCTGTGAGTGACAGGGGAGAGCTCCCCAACTCCCTGATGGGCCCTGCTCTGTGTGTTACAGGGTACGGAGCCCCAACCCCCTGATGTGCCCTGCTCTGTCCGTGACGGGGTGGCGCCACAACCTCCCTATGGACCCTGCCTTGAGTGTGACAGGGGGCGGTGCCCCAACCCCCCAATCGGCCCTACCCTGAGCGTGACTGAGGGTGGCATCACAACCTCCTGATCCGCCCTGCTCTGTGCATGACAGGGGGCGGCGCCCCAACTCCCCAATCGGCCCTTCTCTGAGCCCGACCAGGGGCTGCACCTAGGGATTGGGCCTGCCCTCTGCCACCCGGGAGCAGGCCTAAGCCAGCAGGTCGTTATCTCCCGAGGGGTCCCAGACTGCGAGAGGGCACAGGCCGGGCTGAGGGACCCCCGCCCCCCCCCCCCCCGAGTGCACAAATTTTTGTGCACCCGGCCTCTAGTAAAAATATAAAGAAGACAATAAAGGTCACCTAAAATCTTACCACCTGTGGTGCAAAAAATAAGGATCACCAAAATAGTTTTGTATTACATTATGCAAACTTACACACAATTTTTTACATATAGGATTATATCACACAGGAGATATTTATAAGATACCATCTCTCTTACCCCCTTCCAGTTAGTATATACACCACCATCTTTACCATCCCAGGTAAGTCTTATTCACAGGCTAGCTTGTGTCCTTTGTTTCTCTCCATACTTAAGAAATCTTTTAGTCATATAATTGTATTCAAACCTATATATGCACTTAACATTGAATTTTAGTCACTATTAGTTACTATTAGTGAACATTTGAGTACTTTTAAGTGTAATGCTTTGTACTAGCTTTGGGAGAGATACAAGGGAGTAATGTGTGGCCTGTGTTCTCAATTACTTTATAACCTGTGAGGAGAGGTGAACAGGTAAATAGCTTGTATTATATAAGACTTGTTTTGATATCTGCTGTTGGGTAGAAATGTCGGGTAGAAACAGCCTGGGAAGCCCTGCAGGGGAACTCCCAGAGGACAGAGGCCTTGCCTTTTTTATTCTTGTATGCATAAACCCTTGATAAATGTGATTATGTCCAGAGTCTGTAAATAAATATCTGTAAATAAAATCATGTGTTTTGTTCATATGCTTATTTCTGACTAGGTGGACCTGTTGGAGAGCAAGGACAGTGTTTTATTTATCTTTGTTGTAGAGTAAATGTCATATTGAGGACATGCAGGAAAAGTTTGGATTAATGAATTAGTGGCTTCAAAATACACATGCCTTCTAACAAGTAATTATCTTGTTAAACTTGACTCTTGCTTGCAGTTCTTACAAGTTTCACCAACACAGTCATGATTGTTTCACCTCTCCATAAAATACGCATAAGTGGGTTTTTGGGGTAGGCCTCAGTTTGAATCCCAACTCTACTAACTTACCATCTGCTTTTTAAAATTATTTAACAATAAAATCCACCCTTTTAAAGTGCACAGTTCAGTGTATCCATCACCACTATCTAATTCTAAAATACTCCATCACCTCAAAAAAGAAATCCCTTACCCACAGCCATACCTGTTAGCAATCACTCCCTACTCCCTGTTCCCATGCCTTTAGCAACTACTAACTCTATAACCAGTTTCTAATAATAATATGACCCTTTAGAAGTATGCTAAAAGGTATTAATTGATTTTTCTCCTTGTAGGAAAGAACACCAGAAAGGGATACTATGGGGCGAACAGCTGGTAGAGGTAAAATTTACTTACCTAAAAATGATAATATTGGTTTGTTACTCATTTGGAATGAGTATCTTCTGGTAGACTGAACGTTTGTAAAATCCTTTTAAAAATAAAAGTTAAGCGAGATGTTAGGTGCTTAGAATTGGAATTTTAGAACTGAAGAGCTATTAACAATAATTTTGTTATCTCTTCTGAATTTTATAAATGAGAAAACTGACACTGAGGGAGGTTAAGTGAACAGGTCATACAACAATCTGTGACAATGCTAAAATCAGAATCTAAATCTTCTAACTCGAATATGAGAGATTAAAAAATACTTCATCCTGACTTACTCTAATGAGAAGGCTGCTCACTGTACTGTGAATATGCACTCTGTTTTGAGTTGTGCTTTCTTTTCCATAATACATACTTCACACCTTTGCTATCCTAAATCCTGTTTTTCTTTCAAGACTCAGTTCAAGTTCTTTGTCTCCCATGACTTTTTCCCTGGCTGAATACTGAATGTTATCCTCTGCTGTTCACAATTTTATCAAGTGTACTAGTTTACTGTAGTCTTTGTAACTAGATTTTAGCTTCTCTAGAACAGGAATCATGCCTTTAGTTTTACTTTCTTATTAGAAAATCTTAAGGAGAACTATTTAGTAAATATAAATACGTACCTTCTTTTTACTAGCCAAATTATTTAAATAGAAAGCATTCCATCTACTTTGTTCATGTCCTGATTCAAACAGACACATCTACACTAATAAAAGAGAAAAATGGTAATTGGTGTACGGCGCTACCCTTTTCATTGGCTAATCAGGGCTATATGCAGATTAACTGCCAACTAAGATTGGCAGTTAACTGCCAATTAAGATTGGCAGTTAACTGCCAACAAGATGGCGGCTAATTTGCATATGTACGCACAATGCAGGGAGGCGAAAGGGAAAGCAGGAAGAAGCCCCCTGCCACTGACAGTGATCGGAAACCCAGGGGGGAGCTAAGAGGTGGGGGGCAGGGCCTTTGATCGGAGAATCAGGTGCCTTTGCCGCCCTGGCCAGTGATAGCAGGAAGTAGGGGTGGAGCCAGCGATGGGAGCTGGGCACGGTCGAAGCTGGCAGTCCCGGGAGCTAGGGGTCCCTTGCCTGGGCCTAAAGCGAAGCCCACGATCGCGGCGCCCCCCGCTGCCACTGCGGGTCCCCGCTGCCCGGGCCGGACGCCTCAGCCAGAGGCGTTAGGCCTGGGCAGGGGCGGAGCCTGCAACCGCGGGGAGCTGGGGGTCCCCTGCCCAGGCCTGACACCTCTGCCGGAGGCCTCAGGCCTGGTCAAGGGGCCGATCCGGTGATTGGTGATCGGAGGGTGATGAGGGTCAACTCCTCTGGCCGAGGCATCAGGCCTGGGCGGGGGGCGGAGCCGGGGACTGGGGGGATATGATGGTCCCCTTGCCCAGGCCTGAAGCCTGGGTCAGAGGCGTCAGGCTTGGGCGGGGGGTGGTGTAAGCGATCAGAGGGAGATGGGGGTCCCCTGGCCAGGCATGATTCCTGGGCCAGAGGCATCAGGCCTGGGCGGGGGCCAGAGCCAGTGATCGGGGGGAGATGGGGGTCCCCTGTCTAAGCCTGACACCTCTGGTGGAGGCGTCAGGCCTGGGCAAGGGGCCGATCAGGCGATCGGAGGGTGATGGGGGTCAACGCCTGAGGGCTCCCAGTATGCGAGAGGGGGCAGGCTGGGCTGAGGGACACTCCCCCCCCCCCACACACACCCAGTGCACGAATTTCGTGCACCGGGCCCCTAGTTTAAAATAATTAAGACTATTGGGGAAATATGAACAGACTTCTTATTTGATATTAATGAATTATGCATGAATTTTTAGCATAATAATAATATAATGATAGAATTTTAAAATTATATATCTTTAAGACATATACTGTAATATATGTGGACAGAATAATATAATATCTTAGATTTGGTGAAGTCATAAGTTCCAGCACTGTTTGAGCTCCTCAGTTTGTTACAAAATTCTGCCTAACCTATTGAATTATATTACATTCTAGCTTTCTTGTTATGTTTTCAACTGTCAAAAATATCCACTTTATTTCTAAGGCACATTAATTTGAATATTGTAAGGATCAGCTCAACTGGTTTTGGTTTATTTATTCATTCATTTTTCAAATCCTTGAGGGTGTTATTGCCTGCCAGGTCCTATTCTAGGCACTGAGACTATAGCAGTGAATAAAACAGACAAAATTAAATAAATCCCTGCACTTTTGGAGCTTACATTTGAGTGAGGCATAAAATGAAACAAAATAAATGAGCAAATTTTAAGGTATACAGCATGTGAGAAAATGAAGTCCTGTGCAAAAAATGAGAACATTAATTATAAAATTAAAACTGGTTCCTATCAGAAAATAGTTTTATAGTTTTTCTAAGTGTTCTTTCAGACTATTGCTATAGTCTTTAGGTATTGCTTACTATTTTATTTATTTTTTTTAGATTCAATGAATGTGAAGAAGGAGAGTCAAGAGAAAACTTCTCAATCGGACACATCTACACAAGGTGGTAGGTTTTAAAGTACTTCAGTGCAACATATTTTTTCCTCAGTCAGTGTTAATATGAACTCTTATTGCTTTTATATAGTCTCTGTACAGCAAACTCCTGTAAATATAAAATCTAAGTGATAAGAAAGGTCAGGAAATAATTTTTATTTTGAAAATTTTACTTTGGTTTTACTTAGAGATAAATTGGTATGGCATTACATAAAAAAATAACCATGTATTTCAATGCAAATTTTGAAAAATTAAAGATACCTAGTTATTAATTACCATGTATTACCAATTTTAAAATAACTTGATTATGAATAAAAAAACCTAACATTAGAATCAATGTGAAAGTCCGTTTTTGATGGTCAAAAGATAGTTGATAAAAGTAGGTAAAAGCTTAGGCATTGATAGGTCAGACAGACCTCTTCTAGAAATCCTGGCCTCATCCTTTTTTTGTTTTTAAATCCTCATCTGAGGATATGTTTTTATTGATTTTAGAGGGAGGAAGAGAGAGAGAGAGAAAGAGAGAAACATCGATTGATGAGAGAAACATCGATTGATTGCCTCCTGTATGTGACCTGATTGGAGATTGAATCTGCAAGCGAGGTATGTGCCCTGACTGGGAATTGAACCCCAACCTTTTGGTGTATGGGATGATGCTCCAATCAACTGAGCCACCGGGCCAGGGCTGGCCTCAGTCTTTATTGGCCTCGTGACATTGGGCAAATTACTCAACATTCTTTGTCTGTTTTTTTTTCTCAGTAGCACATGGATACTACTACTTACCTCATAGGGTTATTGGAATTTAAATTTGAAAAATAAATGTAAAGTACCTAGTATAATTCCTAGGTATATTGTACATGTTCAGTAGATGTTAATTTTATTTATTAACACTCAATTGATTTCTTATTGTAAACAGCATGTGTATAGCACTGCACCAGAGACACTGGAAGTACATCTGACTTGTTGCACCTGCTCTTAAGGAAAATGAGAAAATAAGTCATATGAACACAAAAGGCCGAATAAAAAATGACAAACTTATTATGAGATATTACCAGACGAACCTCTTGCTCTTTCCTTTGTCTTTCTGTTGGCCCTGCTCTGCCAGCCCCACTCTTGTAGTACTTCATATATGGCTTTCTGTTCTCACAGGAAGGTTGCCTATAGAGGTAATCCCCATGGAATCATTCTCTCTCAATGCTGGGCCCCCAGTGCCTCCTTATTTTTTCCCATTGGCCTTATTTGTCCTTCAGCTCTTCTTTCCAACCTCTAAAACCCTCCAAGGAAATGGAGGCCATTAGGTTAGAATGTTCTTTATCCCTACAAATTCCATCTGTTTTTTAAATATAACAGTTTTGTTGAGATGTAAACAATTCCCCCATTTAAAGTATACAATTCAGTGGTTCTCAATATATTTACAGAGTTGTGTAACCATCATCACAATAAATTTTAGAACATTTTTATCACCCTACAAAGAAATTCTGCACCCAGTTAGCAATCACTCCACATTTTCTCCTAATGCCTCTCCCCTCCCCAGCTCTAGGCAACCGCTTATCTACTTGTTGTCTCTATACATGTGGCTATTCTGAAAATTTCATAAAAATATATTTTTGAAGGTTGAAGCTAGTAACTTTTCAAAATTCGCAAACTTCTGATTTAAAAAATGAGATTGCTTGATCAAATTGATAGACATCTGCAGATATTTTTAGGACCTGATTTTAACATCTTATTTTAGAAATTTGGACAAATAATGGACTAGAATAGAGTACAAGTCAAACAAGAAGGAACCATGGGTCCTGAGCTTAACATATTGTTTTAGAAATCAGTGAGTGACTGCTAGAAGTTAAGCTCTAAAAGAGCCAGAATTTTTGTCAGTTTTATTTTTATTTTTATTTTTTTAAATATATATTTTATTGATTTTTTACAGAGAGGAAGGGAAAGAGATAGAGAGTTAGAAACATCGATGAGAGAGAAACATCGATCAGCTGCCTCCTGCACATCTCCCACGGGAGATGTGCCCGCAACCCAGGTACATGCCCTTGACCGGAATCGAACCTGGGACCTTTCAGTCCGCAGGCCGATGCTCTATCCACTGAGCCAAACCGGTTTTGGCTTTGTCAGTTTTATTAATCACTATCTCCAGTACCTAGAACAGTGCCTGACACATACTGGCTAACTTTTATGGGAATCCAGTGATGAATGAAACAGACATGATTCCTGCCTTTTTTCAGTTTAGGAGGAAAGATAGACATTAAATAAACAACTTCAGTTGTGATAAGTGCTGTGAAATAGTGGTGCAGTGATCATTTTGCTGAGAAGCTTCTAGCTCCAGATATTTTGCCCATCTTTACTAGACTCTGAACCCTAGCCTCACACTAGAAGACATTATGATTCTGATTTACTCTGGAGAAGACCAGAGGGCTCACATAGATTATGTTCAGTTTGCCAAAAGGTATTTGGACAAATAATGAACTAGAATAGAGTACAAGTCAAACAAGAAGGAACCATAGGCATGTGCAAATAATAATCAGAACACAAAGTACTCTGAGCACAATGTACACCTGTCTCTTGAACAAACCTATCAGTTCCTAGGCTTCTTTTCTGAGAGAGAATCTACCCTCCCACCCTACCCCAGTTTGTCAATGAGGATAAGATGTAGAGGCAGACTGGGACGTCAGGCTTAGCTAAGACGTTCTGACTATTTTGGCTCCTGGTCAGGAATTCCAGCTGTGGTATTATAGATGTGTCAAATCTAAATTAAACTGATCAGGATATTTCAGTGACCTTAACGATACCCTAGCCAGATACTCCCACCCCCAATTCATGTTTTGTTTTGTTCTTTAAAAAAATCCTCTCCAAGACCATATGTTGGTAGAGCTTCAGTTAGAATCTTGGGTCTCCTGATTGTTTAGTTAGTGTTTAGGAGGTCACTGAAATATCCTGGCCAGTTTAATTTTGGAGCCATGGATCTTAGTTTTCACTTATGAAAAAGCTATCCAGTATTAATAAATAAATGACAGTATAGACATTTAATTTTATAATAACACTAGAGGCCTGGTACACAAAAATTTGTGCACTGGGGGGGGCGGGGAGGGGGTGTCCCTCAGCCCGGCCTGTGCCCTCTCACAGTCTGGGACCTCTCCGGAGATAACGCCCTGCAGGCTTAGGTCTGCTCCCAGGTAGCAGAGGGCAGGCCCAATCCCTAGGTGCAGCCCCTGGTCGGGCTCAGAGCAGGGCCGATTGGGGAGTTGGGGCGCCGCCCCCTGTCATGCACAGAGCAGGGCGGATCAGGAGGTTGTGATGCCACCCTCAGTCATGCTCAGGGTAGGGCCGATTGGGGGGTTGGGGCACCGCCCCCTGTCACACTCAAGGCAGGGTCGATGGGGAGGTTGCGGCACCACCCCCTGTCACGCACAGAGCACAGCCAATCAGGGGGTTGGGGTGCTGCCCCTTGTCATGCACAGAGCAGGGCCCATCAGGTGGATTGGGGCTCCGTACCCTGTCACGCACAGAGCAGGGTCGATCAGGGGGTTGGGGAGCTCCCCCCTGTCATGCACAGAGCAGGGCCCATCGGGATTGGGGAGCTCCCCCCTGTCATAGACAGAGCAGGGCCCATCAGGGGGTTGGGGAGCTCCCCACTGTCACACACAGAGCAGGGCGGATCAGGGGGTTTGGGCGCCGCCCTCTCTCACCCACAGAGCAGGGCTGATCAGGGGGTTGGGGCGCCTCCACTGTCACACTCAGGGCAGGGCTGATGAGGTTATGGCTCTACCCCATCACAGAGCAGGGCCCGTGGGGGTGGGGGAGTTGGGGCGCCGCCCTGTATCACCCACAGAGCAGGGCCGATCAGGGGGTTGGGGCACCGCCACTCTCACACTCAGGGCAGGGCCGATGGGGAGGTTATGGCTCTACCCTGTCACACACAGAGCAGGGCCTGTGGAGGGGGGGAGGTTGGGGCGTCGCACTCTGTCACACACAGAGCAGGGCTGATCAGGGGGTTCGGGCGCCACACCCTGTCACACACAGAACCACAGGGCGATCAGGGGGTTGGGGAGCTCCTTCCTATCAGGCACAGAGCAGGGCCGATCAGGGGGTTGGGGTGCCTTCCCCTGTCACGAACAGAGCAGGGCGGATAGGGAGGTTGTGGCCCCGCCCCCTGTCACACACAGAGCCGCAGGGCGATCAGGGGGTTTGGGCGCTGCCCCCTGTCACGCTGATCCCGGTGCTGGGAGGCATATTATCCTTTTACTATATAGGATGGAGGCCTGGTGCATGGGTGGGGACTGGCTGGTTTGCCCTGAAGGGTGTCCTGGATCAGGGTGGGGGTCCCCACTGGGGTGCCTGGCCAGCCTGGATGAGGGGATGATGGCTGTTTGCAGTTGGTCACACACCCTTCAGGGTGGGGGTCCCCACTGGGGTGCCTGGCCAGTCTTGGTGAAGGGCTGAGGGCTGTTTTCAGGCTGGTGGGTGACTGCAGCTCCCAACTGCTCCTTTTTTTCTTTTTTTTCTTTTTTTTTCTGGGCCAGCTTTAGCTCTGGCTCCAGCTCTGAGGCCTCTGCTGCTGAAAGCAGGTTTCTGGCCTTTGTTTACCTTCTGTATTTGAAACAATGTTGCGATTCTACTGGCTGAAGCCCTGTGACTAAAGCAGGTTTCTGGGGTTTTGTTTAGCTTCTATATTTGTAACATAGTTGCTTAGAGTTGCAGCTCAGAGGCTGGCAGCGGCAGGCGGGGAACGTTGGAGTCCTCCGTCACTGAAGCAAGCAAGCCTCATGTTCGCTTCCAGCTGCCTGGCTGCCGGCCGCCATCTTGGCTGGCAGTTAATTTGCATATTGCCCTGATTAGCCAATGGGAAGGGTAGCTGTTGTATGCTAATTACCATGTTTCTCTTTTATTAGATAGGATGCCATTTATTGAGTGACTTACATGTATGCTACTTCACTTAATTCTCAAAATACCTTGTACCATATTTATTACATTCCCCATTTTATAAAAGAAGGAACCGAGGCTGAGAAAGTGAAATGACTTGCTCAGGGTCACATAGCTAGAAATAGGCAGAGCTTGACTGGAAGAAGGCAGGTTTGACTCCAGAGTCCATAGTCTCAACATTTCTGCTGTATACCTTTCAGCAGTGTGGTAACATTCACTTCACATCATCTAAAGTGGACTTAAACACAGTATTTTTTAATGGAATAATCTCTTAAATTTATTGTTAATTTTAAAAAGCAGGGTGTACAGTGTTAAGTATGACATAATATTTGTACATACACGTATAAATGCACACTCATATATCAATGGCATGCTAAAGCTGATTCACACCAGCTTGGGAGAGCCATTTACATACATCTCTTTCCAACTTTGTGGTTAGTGACTTCTCCTTGGCACCTTGCAATCAGGTATGGTGGTAGTAGTTAAATCACAGAAGACTGCAAACACTACCAGTGAGGCTTTTTGTTTGTTTGTATTTTCTGAAAAGCTGGCTGTTAATCATTTGTCAGCACTTTGTGTGTGTGTTTCAGTGTGTTATATCCTTTAAAGGATATATAAGAGGTTAGTAATGTAAATTCCCCCAGGAAGGGGAAATGTCCAAACCAATATTTTTAAAAAATATGTTTGTGCTGATTTCAGAGAGGAAGGGAGAGGAAGAGAGAGAGAGAAACATCAGTGATGAGAATCATTGGTTATGCCCCCACACTGGGGATTGAGCCCACAATCAGGCGTGTGCCCTGATTGGGAATCGAACCATGACCTCCAGGTTCATAGGTCAACAATCAACCATAGAGCCACACCGGCCAGGCTCAAAACCAATATTTTTATAGTGAAAAAATTAAAAGAGTACAGAAAAACCTGATGGTTGATGAGAATTAAACTTTGTATGAATTAATTCAGCTATCAAGTTTTTCTTTCAGTGTCTTTGGCATCTGACTGGCACAGTGAATTGAAGTGTTCAGGCCAGGCAGAGTACTGCTTTCTGACCTTTTCCTCTAGCATTATAATATATTATGAAGACTAAGTGAGAGAAAGGACAGCAAGAGTGTGTAAAAAATATAGATCATTAAAATAATCTATATCAGTGACTGTACCGATGACTGGTTTACTGCTTTGTTCTGCCATCATATTCTTGACACCTGGATGGAGATTGACTAGTCAATTGAGAAACAACTCTGATTCTCAGATTTTTTCTTTCCATAAAATTCTGCTAGAACACACACCTAAACACCTTTAGCTTCCCTTGAAAAACAAAGCACCATCACATTAATAGGATGAAATGGTAAAAACACATCTTCAATAAATTTATATTAGAGATAAATAAGTAGAATTTGCTATTACTCTATAAAACATCCTTTAGTTGTTTATAGAATCCACATTTTTAGAATCACTGTGCTGTAGTCCTCATTACATTGAGAAGATCTGGCATTGCCTTATTTTTTATTTCTATACTGGTAATCAAATGTAGATCAGGAAGTTTGAATCTGCTCTTACTTAGGAAATATTTTTGAAGAGATATGGAACCAAAACCCATTTTATTCTTGAAAATTAGTATACATATTGCATATATTAAGAAATATTTTGTATATTTATTTCTAGATGATTTCCATTGGGACACTTACTTGAAAGAGACTGGATCTTTAAGTGCTCCTATAGAGTGTTTCAGACAGGTATGCTAAAATTCTGTAGATGTTGAACATACTAATGTAAACTATTAACTTGTTGAAAGGTGTCTGTGTGAGTGTTAGGTTCAGGTGGTGTGAGGAGATGGTGGGATTGTGGTAGTGCCATTTAAGAGCCAGCTGGTCTCTTTGCATTCATTCATTAAGAATTTCTTCAGTGTCAGATATATGAAGCCCTTATGATTACCCATCTGGAGGGAAAGATAGACATGTAAATAATTAATTATGAGAAGTGTGATTACTCTATAGTGGGAGGGCTCACAAAAGAGGTGCTATCTGAGATGGTTGGAATGAAGGGAAGAATATTCCAGGTAGAGAGAACATCTAAAACAAAGGCACATGGATGTAAGGGAACCTGAGTGTGAGGGATGGCGTGGCTGAAGCACAGAGTGGGGTAGAGGCAATAGTGTAGGAATGAGGTTAAAGTTGTGGGGGCTTTTAAACTGTAATGAGTACTTGGACTTTTATCTTAAGCAGTGGTGAGCTACCAGTTGGCTTATTTCAAGGGGAGTGGCCTAATCAGATTATTATTTTAGAAAGCCACTCAGGGTGCATTTTATTTATTTATTTATTTTTAAATATATTTTATTGATTTTTCACAGAGGGGATGGGAGAGGGATAGAGAGTTAGAAACATCGATGAGAGAGAAACATTGATCAGCTGCCTCCTGCACACCCCCCACTGGGGATGTGCCCGCAACCAAGGTACATGCCCTTAGCCGGAATCGAACCTGGGACCTTTCAGTCCACAGGCCGATGCTCTATCCACTGAACCAAACTGGTTAGGGCACAGGGTGCATTTTAAAAGCCACATTTAGGTTGCCTGGAAGTGGGAAAATGAGTAAAACCAGCAGTTGGCAGTATTTTTATGCTGCACATCAAGCCAAGGGGAGGGTTTGAAAATCTTTTTCTTGACCCTTAAAGTTTTTAACTTTGTTCACCATCTGCTGTGACCATTACTTAAAATGCTCCTCAAGTATTCTGGTAACATAACTGACTATTTGTTTTTCTTATAGTTGATGCACTTTAACAAAATTGTGTGTGTGTGTGTGTGTGTGTGTGTGTGTATGTAGTCTAAGATCCCACCAACTAATGAATTCAAAGTTGGTATGAAACTGGAAGCGCATGACCCTCGCAATATGACTTCAACATGTATTGCCACGATTATCGGAGTTACTGGTGCCAGGTTACGTTTACGCCTTGATGGTAGTGATGATAAAAATGATTTTTGGAGACTTGTTGATTCTGCAGACATACAACCCGTTGGCACATGTGAACAGCAAGGGGACTTACTTCAGCCTCCATTGGGTAAGGATAAACAGTTTTTAAAATAACATATTCTTACTAATGTAATATTCAGAAATAGTTTTAATGGCCTTTTAAAAACCCGTCCTCCTAGACATTCTTACAAATAGGTGGTCAGGTGGTTACTGTGGAAAATGTATGAGAGAGGAACTCATCAGTACTATAATGTTAGAGAGTTTCACTAAGTACACATTTGGTTTATGTGTGCTAAAGGTTTCCCACTCCAGGGAAAGACTCATTCTGTCTTTAAAGTTGAAATGTCAAAAGCTGCTCTACTAGATTACACATGCAGATTCAGAAGCCCTTCTGAGGGAGTAGTTTACAGCATTAGATAGCAAGTTACTTCCTCCCTTAATATTGTCCACTGGGCCATTCAGTATTTTTGGTATGGAGATGAGCATAGGGGATTCCACATCCAGGTTCTAGATGCAAATTTGGGAATTCCATTTCATCTGTAGTGGGAAGAAATCTCAGTGAGAGAGGAAGGAGTGAGTAGCTTTAGGTCTTTGAAAAGGAGGAGATGGATGGAACTTACCAGTAAAGGTTTTTAAGTTCCAAGTTCTCCATTTTGACCAAGTTTTTAAAATGTAAAAACTGTATGACTAATTTTGAGCAAACTTTTTCTTTTACCACTTAGGTGTACTATGATATTCTATAGAAAATAAGTGATTTCATGTATCACTTTGTATTCTGAATGAATGGTGGGTTTTGGTTTTTGTTCTTTACAGCACTGAAAAGGAAAATTCCTTATTTTAAAGCACAATGAGAAAATGGATTTTTTTTGTCTCCTACTGGTGAAAAATTCCCTGAGAATAAAAACTTAATATATTAATAATAACTATTTTTAGTGATGTATTTTTATGCTGTTTTTGCTCTAATTGTTAATTATTCCTAATTTGGCTTAAATATTTTTAAAAACTAATAAGAGATGTGTTATTCCAAGAAGATGGTTAAGGGTGTGTATGTTTTCTGCTTTTCCCCTTTTTCCTTCATATCATTCATATTTTTTATTGTTTACTTTTATAACATTTCTGGAATCATACAGAATTCTGTAAGAGGTGTGTAAACCTGAGGCTTAGTGCTTTCCTGTTTGGATTTTATTTCTGTCTATAATATGATAATATGTGTCTTATTTTGTTTAAAAGAAATACAGCTATTGTGATTGCCAGCATTTCAAACACATAGCCAAAATTATGATTGATTATTTTTCAAATTACATTTAGAATTTTTTAACTAAAAATATGAAATACATAACAACACATGCTAATTAGTGTATATTTTCACACTACATATAAAAATACAGTTTTTGCCAATTTGCTCATTAGGCACTTTTGAATAGTTTAGTTTCCATTTTAATATAACACAACTTATTTAATTTTCCTTTTTAAAATGGGTTTATTTATTTAAATCTTAAAAGTTATTATTTAAAAGATACTTTAAAGTTTTAACATACAAACAGAAAGTGTATAAATCATAGGTGTACAGCTTATAAATGAACATACCTGTATAACTACCATCCAAATCAAGATGCGTGAACATTATCAGAACCCCAGAAGCCCCATTCCTGCTGATCTCTATTCATAACTACCCCTTTCCCAAAGATAACCACTGCCTAGACTTCCTGACATCATAGATTAGTTTTATCTGTGTTTGAATTTTCTATGCACTTTATTTTTTAGCCTTTTAATCTATGTTTGACTTTAGGGAGTTACAGAATTAAGAAAAATGTTAAATTTAGAAAAATCATGGTATATGATGCAATAAGATAAGGTAAGGGGTAAGAGAAAGGCATAAGGAACAGAGAATGATTCTTATGCAATATTCTGACCACAGTGTGGAAAATATATGCTGTGGATAACTTTATTAGATATCACTAATAATATTGAGGGAGTAGGTAATAAATCTCCCCTCCCCCATTTTTCCTAACAACAATTATTTCCCTTATTATATTAGGGGGTTTTGGTACAGGGTTATTATGGTATGATTTTCTGTCTGAACATTTTTGTAGGTTTTATACTGTTGATAGACATGTTGCCAGTGACTCATATGCCTCCCTATCTTACTGCATGTAATCATCAGGAATGCATGACAAGTTCTCTCCAATTCTGGTATCAAGGCAGGCAAGTGCTGCCTGAAACAGATTGCAGTAAAACCAGCAGATCCCTGTTTCCAGATGCTGTGATAGTCACCATTAATTATAAGATCTCTGGAAAATATACCTATTTTGATAGCAACTAATACATATTCTAAGAGGAGATCATGTTTATGTAGTGTGTGTAAGGATTGCTAAAGTGAGAGCTGTATTTTTCTCTAACATATTGTATGAAAAAATTTCAAACATACAAGGTGAAATAATTTTACAATGAATACCTACCTACCCATTACCTAGGTTCTGTCATTATCATTTTATTATACTTGCTTTGTCACTCATCTATCTGCCCTTCTATGAATTTATCAATCCATCTTATTTTAAAATACATTTGAGAGTAATTGACATCATTACATTTCTCCTGAATACTTTAGCATGCATATTATTAATTAGAGTTGTGTTTATGCAGCTTTTTAAGATGAAATTTACATAAAATGAAATGCACTGTGTTAGTGTGCATTTACTGAGTTTGACATAAAACTGTCTTTTTCTGAATGGAAATAAAGCAGGGGAAAAGAGGGCCTGGAAATCTTTTGCAGCCTTTGCCCTCCTTGTGAGGCTGTTGGTAAGAAATGGTAGCTCTCCTGGGTTCTAGCTTGGATTACCCAAGTATAATGGCCCATTCCCAAGATATACATGGATGTTGATGATCTCTAGCTACTGGTTTCTCTAAAATGAGAGTTTCTACTCCACTGTAGCATTGTTGCCAAATAATACAGTGGTTATAGTAGCACCAATTGGAGAGTGTAGCTGCTCCTCTGGCCCATTTCCTGAGTTCCTCGATAAGAAAGTTATTCTCTGGAGAATAGTAAATGAATACTATTTTTAATACCAACTTGCTGTAATATCATAGGAAGGCTTTTTCATGATACCTGATTTAATTTTTAAAATAGGATACAAGATGAGTACATTATCTTGGCCGATGTTCCTTTTGCGAACATTGGATGGATCTGAAATGGCACCTGCAACATTCTTCAAGGAGGTAAGAAAGAATTTATAAAGAACTTCAAACCTCAGAGGGAAGGCAGCAGAGGGTGAGGCTAAGGGGGAGAGATCAACCAAAGGACTTGTATGCATGCATATAAGCACAACCAATGGATACAGACTACAGACACGGGGAGGGCGGGGGTGAGGGCATGAGCGGGGTGGGGGGGACGAAACTGGGGGGAAAAGAGTACATTTGTAATACCGTAATCAATAAAGGAAAAAAAAAAGAACTTCCATCAGCTGGGCTGTGGTTTTATTTTTTTAACTTGTAGCCCTCCATAGGAACCCATGCACCAGTAGCTTGCCCATAGCTTGCTGCTGCCCTCTAGTAGCTCTCCGCCCACTGCCCTGCTCTCCTGTAGCTCCTCCCACCACCCCCCTTGCTGCTCCGCCCTCCTGTAGCTCCCTCCCTCTCTCCCTGCCCCTCTCATAGCTTGCTGCCCTGCCCCCTCCTGTTGTAGCTCTCTGCCCCACCCTCCTGCTGATCCGTGATCCAGTCGTTACATTTGCATTTTACATCCTTATTATATAGGACTAGAGGCCCAGTGCACAAAAATTTGTGCACTCGGGGAAGGGAGGCATCCCTCAGCCTGGCCTGTGCCCTCTCGCAGGCTGGGACCCCTCGGGAGATAACGCCCTGCTGGCTTAGGCCTGCTCCCGGATGGCAGAGGGCAGGCGCAATCCCTAGGTGCAGCCCCTGGTCGGGCTCAGAGCAGGGCCGATTGGGGAGTTGGGGCACCACCCCCTGTCATGCACAGAGCAGGGCGGATCCAGAGGTTGCGATGCCACCCTCAGTCACGCTCAGGGTAGGGCCAATTGGGGGGTTGGGGCACCGCCCCCTGTCACACTCAAGGCAGGGTCGATAGGGAGGTTGTGGCGCCACCCCTTGTCATGCACAGAGCAGGGCCAATCGGGGGTTGGGGCTCCGTACCCTGTCACGCACAGAGCAGGGTCGATCAGGGGGTTGGGGAGCTCCACCAACCCACGCACAGAGCAGGGCCGATCAGGGGTTTGGGGAGCTCCCCTCTGTCACGCACAGAGCAGGGCCCATCAGGGGGTTGAGGAGCTCCCCCCTGTCACAGAGTAGGGCCGATAGGGGAGTTGGGGCACCGCCCCCTGTCACACACAGAGCAGGGCAGATCAGGGGGTTGGGGCGCTGCCACTTTCTCACTCAGGGCAGGGCTGATGGGGAGGTTATGGCTCTACCCCATCACACACAGAGCAGGGCCTGTGGGGGGGGGGGGTTGGGGTGCTGCACCCTGTCACACACAGAGCAGGGCCGATCCGGGGGTTGGGGCGCCGCACCCTGTCACACAGAGCTGCAGGGCGATCAGGGGTTGGGGAGCTCCCCCCTATCAGGCACAGAGCAGGGCCGATCAGGGGGTTGGGGCGCGTTCCCCTGTCACGAACAGAGCAGGGCGGATAGGGAGGTGGTGACCCCTCCCCCTGTCACACACACAGCCGCAGGGCGATCAGGGGGTTTGGGCGCTGCCCCTGTCACATTGATCCTGGTGCCGGGAGGCCTCAGGGCTCCGCTGATCCCGGTGCTAGGAGACATATTACCCTTTTACTATATAGGATAGAGGCCTGGTGCACGGGTGGGGGCCGGCTGGTTTGCCCTGAAGGGTGTCCTGGATCAGGGTGGAGGCCCCGCTTGGGTGCCTGGCCAGCCTGGGTGAGGGGCTGATGGCTGTTTGCAGCTGGTCATACCCCCTTCAGGATGGTGGTCCCCACTGGGGTGCCTGGCCAGTCTGGGTGAGGGGCTGAGGGCTGTTTTCAGGCTGGCGGGTGACTGAAGCTCCCAACCGCTCCTTTTTTTCTTTTTTTTATTCTGGGCCAGCTTTAGCTCTGAGGCTTGACTCCAGCTCTGAGGCCTCTGCTGCTGAAAGCAGGTATCTGGTTTGTTTGGGTTCTATAATCGAAACACTGTTTCAACTCCAGCTCTGAGATCTCGGCTGGCTGAAAGTAGGGATCTGCGTTTGTTCTATAATTGAAACAATGCTGCGGTCCTGCTGGCTGAAGCCCGGCTGGCTGAAAGCAGGTTTCTGGGGTTTTGTTTAGCTTCTATATTTGTAACAATGTTTCAAACTGCAAGCTTAGAGGCTGGCAAGGCAGGTGGGGAATGTTGGTTTCCTCCATCACTGAAGCAAGCAAACCTCCTGTTCGCTTCCAGCTGCCTGGCTGCCGGCCGACATCTTGGCTGGCAGCTAATTTGCATATCGCCCTGATTAGCCAATGGGAAGGGTAGCAGAGTGACACCAATTTGCATGTTTCTCTTTTATTAGTGTAGATGGGATACTTAAATATTTTCTCTTCTCTAACATGAAAACGCAAAAATGCTTTTTAAATTTAATGTTTGGCAAGTGTATTTGTTAGTCTGCTAGGGCTGCCATAACAAAGTTCCACAGACTGGGTGGCTTAAGCAAAATAAACTTATTTTTTTCACAGTTCTGGAGGTCAGAAGTGCAATATTAAAGTGCCATTGGGGTTGGTTTATGGTGAGGCCTTTCTCCTTGGTTTATAGATGGCTGCCTTTCCGTTGTATTTTCACATGGCCTCTTCTCTGGACATGCACAGAGGGAGAGGAATCTGTTTTTTCTTTCTCTTCTTATAAAGACAACAGTCTCAAGTCTTATAACCTCACTTAACCTTTATTACCTTTTTAAAGGTTCTAGCCCTAAATAGTCATATTGGGGGTTAGGGCTTTAATTTATGAATTTTTGGAGGACACATTAAGCCCCTAACAGTAGCTTAAACAAAAGAAATTTATTTTCTCAAAGCTCCAGAGGATAAAAGTTTGAGGTCAAGGTGTTGTCAGGCTTGGTTTCTTTGAGGCCTCTCTCCTTGGTTTGTAGTTGATGGGAGCACACAATTCAGCCCATGACAGCAAATTATTTAACAAAAACGTTATTGTTATAATCATCCACTAGCCAAAATGAATTAGTACCCCCTTTCTTGACCTTAGATATGAAAGGGGTGTTCCACTGGAAGCAGATGTTCATTGCTATTTTTTATTTACTTTCATAAGTGAAGCTTCCCCCTCACTTAGTTATGTTAGTCATCCCTTTGATATTGAAGAAAATGATAATGGGCCAATAAAACCACTTGAAGGTTACTCAGATTTGTTGTTTAGAAGTAAAAGAATGTTAAAAAGTCATCAGAATGAATTTGTTATAAGGAAATACTTGTTATATAACAAAGGGAAAATTCCAAAACTAGTTTATGCTCTTGAGAAATTGTTGAAAGAGTACAGCATGTTAGCAAACAATGAATAAAAGCCAAGTTTTAGTTAAATTATGGGTCAAATATTTCTTTCTCAACTGTTATCCTAATTGTTTTCATAGTCACTTAAATTTTATTACAACTATTCATATCAAGAAGATTAAGGACATAAGGATGTGACACATCAATTAATACGACTCCTGTGCCTTGGCCAGTGTGGCTCAGTTGATTGGGCATTGTCCCATGCACCGGGAGGTTGCTGGTTCGATTCCTGGTCAAGGGCACATGCCTAGGTTTGGGGGCACGATCCCCAATAGCGGGTGTGCAGGAGGTAGCCGGTTGATGTTGCGCTTTCACATTGATGTCTCTCTCCCTTTCTCTCTAAAAATCAATAAACTTCTCTCAAAAAATATGACTCCTGCATTGCAAAAAAAATTTTTTTGAGTGCAGCTTTGAGCAGCATGAAAGAACACAGGCAAATGCTCCAAGCCCTTTGGGCAATACGTGAAGTATATGTAAGAATAGCTAATCCCCTTTTAATGTGCACTGGGCCACTAGTAGCTAATAACAGGAGATGTTTAACAGAGGAAGGTGGAGAGAGAGAGAGAGAAAAATTGATGTGATAGAGACACATCAATTAGTTGTCTCCCGCATGCACTCTGACTGGGGCTGGGGATTGAACCTACAACCCAGGGACATGCCCTTGACTGGGAATTGAACCCGAGATCCTTCAGTGTTCAGACTGACGCTCTAACCATTTAACCACACTATAAGGGCTAGCAGTAGTTTTTATTAAACACCTATTAGCTTGGGTTGTGGCTTTAGAAAAGCCACTGAATCTATTTATATATCAAATTGTTTATCATCTAGTGACAAGCCACTTGTCATACACATTGTTTTTCATTTAAAAATATTTTTATTGATTTCAGAGAGGAAGGAAGAGGGAGAAAGAGATAGAAAAATCATTAATGAAAAAGAATCATCAATCAGCTGCCTTCTGCACACCCCACCCTGGGGATAAAGCCGTCAACCTGGGCATGTGCCCTGACTGGGAATTGAACTGTGACCTCATGGTTCATAGGTCGATGCTCAACCACTGAGCTACACTGGCCTGGCTCATTTTAAAAATTATAAAAGTAGTTCATGTTTGTGTGGGGGCAAAAAATCAAACTATACATTTAGCTAGAGCAGCTGTGGGCAAACTACGGCCCGCGGGCCGGATCCGGCCCGTTTGAAATGAATAAAACTAAAAAAAAAAAGACCGTACCGTTTTATGTAATGATGTTTACTTTGAATTTATATTAGTTCACACAAACACTCCATCCATGCTTTTGTTCCAGCCCTCCAGTCCAGTTTAAGAACCCATTGTGGCCCTCGAGTCAAAAAGTTTGCCCACCCCTGAGCTAGAGTGAAAAATGTGTATCACTTTATCCTGTCCATTCCTGTATTCCACTCTTCTCTCTGTATTGAAGTTTTATTTGTGTTCTTCCAGACCTTTTTCTGTGCTTTCACAAATATATATGTGCTCTTATTTTTTTTAACAAATTGGAATATATTGTATATATTGTTCTGTGATTTAGTTTTCCCCCTAAATTATGTATAGTTTGGAATTCTTTCCATTTCATTTCATATATACTTCAGGTAATCTTCTGTGGTATGGATTACCATAATTGATTTAACCTCTGCCTAAGGATGAATATTTAGGTTCTCTCCATATTCTTGTTTAAATCATCCTCAGTGAACATTCTTGCATATATATACATATATATATAT